GCAGGGAGCCCGATGTGGGACTCGATCCCGGGACTCCAGGATCATGACCTGAGCCGAAGGCAGTCGCCTAACCAACTGAGCCACCCAGGCGCCCCTAAATTTTTTCTTTTTTAAATGTTCTTTTTTCCCCCTCCTCATACTTTTAGCTTCTTCTCAAACCTATCTGCTCATAAACACTTCTTCATAATAAAACAAGTGAAAAGGAAGCAAACAGTATCAACAGAAAATCTTGACCACTAGTAAAAACCAGACCTGGTAGTGTTAGTTAACTGCATAAATTAATATTGGGTTATTTTAATTTTTATTCTTTCGTGGTTTTTTTAATCCTTTCATTCTTGAGTACCAAAAATTCTTTCTAAAAGTTTTGCTATCTGATGGCATATGCCTCAAGAGAATGCTATTTTACTTGTTTTCTGCAAAGAACAGTCAACCGTCTTTCAGGTTTTGACCATGTGAACTCTTAAGTTTGAGATCCACTGCACCAGGGGGAAATAATCAGTTATTCTAGAATGTTTTGCTATGTTTGATTTCTGTTTGTCTTGTAAACTAATCTTGAGCATTTATAAAACGCTAACACTCTAATCATTTCGTTTGTACACTTGTGACTGCCAAATCAGCATTTCCTGAATTAAACTCACACTGTCTGAAGGCAACCAAGGTTCAGTAACTTGTGCAGATTCATGATTGGTGTTCTACCCCCCAAAACCCATGACGGGAAAACCCTATCTGTACTGAGCAACATACGATTTTGTTTTATTTCCACAGTATCTCATTAAAGTTAATGAAATCAAGACCAAAAAGGGTGTGGATCTGCTGCAGAATCTTATAAAGTATTATCACGCACAGTGCAAGTAAGTAGAATATCGTGATCATGATTATTAGCCCAAGAAAGACCCCCTTCACTTCTTTGGTTTTCTTAATTCTTTCTTTCTGGTTTTCATTTCGTCACTCTATATAGTGTGATACTAGAACCTTCCAAAGCCACATGATAAGAAATGGTATTATCTTCCATCTTTGTTGTTTTCTGTAAATAAGTAACTCAAATCAGTGCAAGTATGTGGCTACTCAAAAATGCCATCTTACTTATGAATCCTAAAGGTGGCCTTGACAGTCTGTGAAGCTCTCGTTACAAATAATGCAACCCTGTCACGACAGAGGCCTTCCCAAGTGACTCTCACGCCCTCCTCCCTTACTTGGCATTTACCTATTATCAGGTCATTTGTTCCATGTATACCTACTTGGAATTGTTTTTCTTTGTCACCTAAATTAGGTGAAATTATATACTTGGGGCACTAAGAATACTTTGACTTTATACGTCGATTTCTACGTAACTGGTGGTACGTCCACTATTTATACCAGCACCATTTTTGCTTATTAACTTTGCATTTTTATTATGCTTGAGATTCTGTGGCATTACATTTGCTTATTTACTTCTTGCTTAATTACTGGATTAGCTTTCATGGGTTTTCTGGTAGAGTTATTAGATGAGGGGACTGTTGCTTAAGGGTTCTCATCTCCATTTTTCTCCAAGCCTTTTGGGATCCATAGATTTATTATATTATTATATATAATATATATAATATATTATATTATAAATACAGTTTATTCCACAGTATTTTAGCTCTCTGAGGATTTGATTATATTTTATAAAATATTTTTTTTCTTACTGCCTTTGGTTACCTCACCACCACCCCCAACTTGTTATTTTGATCTCTTGCTTTCATTTTGGAGGCTTTCATAAATTATCTTATCATCCTTCACTGCCCATTCATATTTGAGAGCAAAGCACCCAAAAGTTGTTGAAAAGCTCATACATGTCAGCAGGGCCTGTCAAGAATGCAGTGAGCTGCCTTTTTAGGTTTTAGGATGTCGAGACAGCTTTTCTTCTCCTTCTTCCTTTTTTTTTTTGAGAGAGAAAGAGTATAGGGAGGGGCAGAGGGAGAGAGAATCCCAAGCAGACTCCCTGCCTCCCTGCTGAGTTCAGAGCCTGACCCGGGGCTCGATCCCAGGACCCTGTGATCACAACCTGAGCCAAAATCAAGAGTCAGATGCCCCACCAACTGAAATGCCCAGGTGCCCCAAGACAGCTTTTTTATCAGGAGCATTCTAAATGTCAGTATCCAGAGGTGTGTCTTCCGGCACCATTCAGCCCCCTGAGCCCCCGTCTGGTGATCGTATGTAATGGCATCTGGACGCAACAAAGGCCAGGGAGGCAGGGAGCCCTATTGTTTGGGGTACGCGCTTTCTCTTTTTCTCTGTGTAGACCTGCTGGTCCAAATATTTGCTGAATTCTCTCATCCGTTTTTGTCTTCAGTTCTTGTCTTTGGGAGATTATATTGTTTATGATTTTTGTATCATATTAGTGGGATTATGGAAGGAAGAAGAAATGAAGACATGTGGTCAAGTCACCACATTAACCCAGGAGTCTACTGCTGTGAAGTTATGCCTGCTCCTCACATTTCTTCTCAGATGTCTTCAGCTTTCTGCTTCTCTCCCACCCACACCAGTGGAGAGAGCTGAGGCTTACTCTCTGTTTTCACACCTACTTGATGGCCAACGTGGCTTGATAAGATATGGCATTATGGTGTTAGAGGAATCCCAACCACATTTATAGTAGATTTCCCAATGGGTTGATTTTCTACTGTGTTTGTATATAGATAAGGATATTGGCTTTCTTTGGGGTTTGATTCCCCACCACTACAATTTAAAAGAAGACTTGAAGGCTAAGTCAGTTCATCTTTGCATTCACAACGAAAACACTCTTTTTGAAATTGGAAGTCTGTTTTCAAGTTAGATGGACTTTCGGAAAGAGGGTGGTAACCATTGGTGTTCCTGCCAGAGTACCATCTATCATAGCCAAGCATTAGCCTCAGGTTGCATTGGTTTAATATGGGCCCTCCTTTATAATTGCCTGCTTCCTTCTTGGCCCCCTCCTCACTGAAGAACATTTCATAGGATTCCAGATTATAGATTGGGACTTCTCCCATCCTTATTTTGTACAATCCAATACCAGATGGTTGAATGATTAAAATGTGTTAGGGGGATATGGAAATCACCCAGGTTTAGAGGAATATTGGAAATTACCTTTGACTACTTTTTGTGCATGTCCATTGTGCACTTTGATTGTCTTGAAATAATTCTCAGACTCATCAGCTGTTGGTAATCAAGATATGCCTCCAGTCTCCAACTTTCTGATTCTTTTTCATCCTAAAGTACTTGACCCAAGAAAAAGTCAACTGTCAAGATTTCTTCATGCCAAACAGAATGTGAGAGAATTTGTAAGAATTTATCCATGTGGGGGCACCTGGGTGGCACAGTTGGTTAGGTTAAGTGTCTTACTCTTGGTTTCACCTCAGGTTGTGATCTCAAGGTCATGAGATCGAGCTTTGTGTCAGGCTCCGCGCTCAGCGCAGAGATTACTTAGGACTCTCTCTCCCCTCTTCATGCACTCACTCTCTCTTTCTCTCTCTCTCCTCTCTAAAATAAATAAATAAATCTTTAAAGAATTCATCCATGTGTAAGATCAGAGTTAAAATGTGAGAGATTTCCTAGGTGAAAATCTGTACAGTGTGTTCTCTTTGATTCTTACTTTGGTCAATATTACCAACTTATGTAAGAGTTCCTGCCTCTTACTACTCTCGTAATTAAGAAACAATCAGTGGCTCTCATTAAAGGAAAGACGTGAGTTTTTTTTTTTTAATGATGGCATCTGCTTTAATTACAGTACAAAAATTGAGAAGGAGAAAAGAGAGCATGCAAAGCAGCACGGGATGATCCGCACAGAGATCACAGGAGCTGAGATCGCAGAGGAGATGGAGAAGGAACGGCGCCTCTTTCAGCTGCAAATGTGCGAAGTAAGAACAGCTTTTACAAGCATTTGCCCAGAGTTTCCTTAACTGTGATCTTTCCTGCTAGTCAGGAGTTTTTATGCTTAAATGCAGGCTGTTTGATTATTAGAGGAGGGGACTGTTGCTTAAGGGTTCTCATCTCCATTTTTCTCCAAGCCTTTTGGGATCCGCCATTTCACTGTTGTCTCATATTTTGAGCCTTGGTCCTGTGGGGCTCTTTATGCCAAAACAGGATTCTTTGGTGAGAACTTTAATGTTGCTTGTGAGTGAGTTTGAAAAAAAATGTTTGGTAAGGAAGTAACACTGGTGAATATGAAGTCTTCCTGGTACAGGTTTAGAGCATGTTTTTTGTTTTTTTAACCACGTGTCCAATTTGAATGAAAGCTTAAATAAAGTAGTCATTAAGAAAGCCTGAGTTCATGAAAGAAATGTAGTGAAAGCATGCTCCCTTGGACTTAAAGCAGTGGTTCTCAAACTGGGTTCCCAGTGAACACTGGCACTCCCTGACCTGGCGTTCTGCTCATTCTGATGCTAATTGTGTCATAGAGTTCCTTTTACAGTTCTCCAAAAATATTAAAGTGGATAGAATTTTCTTAATTTTAAATTTTTTCTTTTTTTTTTTTTTTTTAA